CTAACCATCTCTTATAAGTAATTATTATAAGTAATTATTTTCTTAGTTTTCCAATTTATCTTTCATGTGTTTCTTTTTAAAAAGCAAACAGATATGTATATTGCTATACTTAAACTGTGCCTCTTTCACAACATGGGGTCTTTATAAAATTTCTTTGGATGTTTAAAAAGGTTTGTATGTTCTAATTTGTACTGATAACATTTTATATAATGCATTTAGAGTCCCCAATTTGCTTTGGGCCTCTACTATTTAATTCAACACCTTTAAATGATGTTCTTTGACTCTTACCTAATTATCTATGTGACAGTCAGTGAATATATTATCTCTTCATATATTTTGTAATTATCTTATTTCTATTTGATTAGAACATAGAATATTTATACACTATTAAAATTTTTAAAAATATATATTTAATACCCTACTGATACTTACCTGAAGTCTCTCCAGTCAACTCTTGGCTGGATGAAGCTCTTCTGTAGAGTATTCAGGGAGGGCTTGTAAGTACTGCACAATATTCTCTGAGTTGTGACATGTTTACAATTTCTTCTGGAGCCTAGATACTTGAAGTATAGCTTGGCCACATAGAAAATCCTTGACAAACATTTCCTTTTCTTGAGTTTGTCTGAATTTGTGCTTCACTGTTGGGTTGCTTGATGTTACTAACAAGAAGTTGTGGCACCACTTGACTTTTTTCCCTTTTGGAAATGACATTTTGTTTGTTGTTGATTTTTACCTAGAGGCCCAGATAATTTTTTCTATATTATTTTATCTCGATCCTTTCTCATTTTTGTTCTCATAGCTGTTTTATTCCTCTTCTCTGTGTTTCTTACTTTTATTTGTATCTCTGTTACCCTGTGATTTAGTTTTCATTTTTAGATGATTTTATCTTTTCAGTATATTGCCTATGTTTGTTCAACTCTCATTTTACATCTTACTATTGAGTTTTAAAATTTTTATTTGCTGTGTTCTTTTATATGTGCAATTACTTATTTAATTATATTCATGTTGGAGTGTTGTATATTATTTGCCTCTGCTTCATATTTTCTAGAGGGTAGTATTTTCTATTGATTGAAAAGTTTTCTTTTCTTTTTTTTTTTTTTTTTGAGACTGAGTCTTGCTCTGTTGCTCAGGCTGGGGTGCAGTAGCCAGATCTCAGCTCACTGCAAGCTCCGCCTCCCGGGCTTAGGCCATTCTCCTGCCTCAGCCTCCCGAGTAGCTGGGACTACAGGCGCCCACCACCTCGCCCGGCTAGTGTTTTGTATTTTTTAGGAGAGACGGGGTTTCACCATGTTAGCCAGGATGGTCTTGATCTCCTGACCTCGTGATCCACCCGTCTCGGCCTCCCAAAGTGCTGGGATTACAGGCTTGAGCCACCGCGCCCGGCCGATTGAAAAGTTTTCATTTTCTGTTTTTTATAATAGTCTTGTATGAATTTTTGGTGGCTTTTCAATTCATGATTAAATGTGTAGGATTTTCTTGAATAAGCAATAACAGGTGGTTCTATAGAATGGAGGGTAGAAGGGATGTGGGTGACTTACTCAGTTTTTCAGTTGAAGAGGACCCTCTTCTGTTAGCATGGTGAAGTGCAGTTTCTTTAATAAATTGTGCACAGTGGGGGTGGGATTTGGATTCTGTGATGCAATCTTGTTTCTTTAGGAATCTTACTTTTGGCCACTTGCCCTTCTTTCCAAGGAATCCCACTCCCTTTTCAAGGTGCCACATGAACTGTTTTCATGAACTTTCCAAACATTGGTTTCTGCTTGTTTCTAAGCCTGATTCTTGGCCTTCTCATTAATTTTCAAAACTTCCAGTATCCTTCCAAATAATTCCCTTTTGCTTACGTTGCGAGTACTAGTTTGTTAGCCAGTGTTTGTTTCTGTTGATCCTAACCAAATAACCCTAACTGACATATCAGTCTCTTAGCGCAAAGTTTGTGAATACGGTCATCCCTCCATATGAGGAGGGGAGTGGGAACTGGTTGTGGGACTTCCATGGATATCAAAATCAGTGGATGCTCAAGTCCCTTACATAAAATGGCATAGTATTTGGTTATCATCCTCCACATACATCATCTCTAGATTATTTATAGTACTTAATACCATGTAATGCTGTGTAGTCATACTGTATTTTTCACTTGTATTTCTCTTGTTGTTGTTTTGTGGGATTTTAAAAACATATTTTTATTCCGAGGATAGTTGAATCCACAGAAGGATACTGAGGGCCAGCTGTATTCACAACCCAAATCACATACAAAGCCACAAGTTCATACACAATAGGCCTATTAGAACAGGACTGATCTCTCTTGTTTATCATTGCAGCCTTTCTAGCACAAAGCCTGGGACATTCTGGACATTTAGTATGTGTTAAATTTCTCTTACTACATTATTTCCAACAGTATTTACTGCAATCTGCAATTACCTTCCTTTTGTTTTGTAACTCTGTCCTCCACTAGAATGTAAGCTCTATGCAGATAAATACTGTCTCATTTATTGATGTATCCCTGGCATCTAACAAAACACTGACAAACACAGGCACCCAGTAAATTTATTTTCAATGACTGAACAATAACCAGTTCATAAGGCTAGTAAAATTGGTATAGCTAGATGAAGTATGATTTTGAGGGGCTATGAAAATCAAAGTAACCACACAATAAATTATCAGCCCTCTACTTCCATTCAAAACAAGCTCCTGGGAATTGAATTATGAAATCTGTTATATTACTTTCTCTGAAGAACTTCAAATTGGATGTCAACTAAAAAGTTGCAGGCGAGGTGTGGTGGCTCAAACCTATAATCCCAGCACTTTTGGAGAAGCGAGTATCTCTTGAGGCCAGGTTTGAAACCAGCCTGGTCAACATAGCCAGACTCTGTCTTTACAAAAGAAAAATGAAAATTAGCCAGGCATAGTGGTATGCATTTGTAGTCCCAGATACTTGAGAGGCTAAGGCAGAAGGATCGTTTGAGCCCAGGCATTCGAGGCTGCAGGGGGCCATGATGGCACCACTGCACTCCAGCCTGGGTGACAGAGTAAGACCCTGTCTCAAAAAATAGTAATAATAGGCCACACGTGGTGGCTCACACCTGTAATCCCAGCACTTTGGGAGGCTGAGGCGGGCAGATCACCTGAGGTCAGGAGTTCAAGCCTGGCCAACATGGTGAAATTCCATCTCTACTAAAAATAGAAAAAAAAATTAGCCAGGTGTGGTAATGGGGACCTGTAATCCCAGCTACTCGGGAGGCTAAGGCAGGAGAATCACTTGAACCTGGGAGCTGGAGGTTGCAGTGAGCCAAGATGGCACTATTGCACCGCAGCCTGGGTGACAAGAGCGAAACTCTGTCTCAAAAAAATAAATAAATAAAGTTTCAACATGAGAATACATGTTTTAAAACAAATATACTAAATATACTTATTGACTGGAAAATAGAAGTATCTATCAGGCTATAAATTGCCTTTCTTCTCCCTTCCATGGCAATTAGTTTTTTTCCATTTTCAGTCAGTATGAAAATACAAGGAACAGGAAATTCAATCAAATTTACTTTTTAACATTTTATTTGGAAATAATTTCAAACTTACAGAAAAGCTGCAAAAAGAGTACAAAGAACTCATGCATTCGTTTACTCTGTTTTTCCTTTTACCCTATATGTTAGTGATTTATAGCTATGTAACAACCCCAAAGCTTAGTGGCTTACACCAAGTACTTTCATCTTACACTGTTTCTGAGTCAGGATTCCAGGAGTGGCTAAGCTGGGTGGTTCTAGCTCCGAGCCTCTCGTGAAGTTGTAGTCAGCTAAAGGCTTGACCAAGTTTGGAGGATCTACTTCCAAAGTGACTCACTCCGTGGCATTTGGTAGGAGGCTACATACAGTTCCTGGACAACTGGATCTCTCCATAGGCTGCTTGAATGTCCCGAAAACATGGAAGCAGGCTTCCCCAGGCTCCAAGCCCCAAAATGAATGAAAAAGAGACCTGCAAAGAAGAGGCAGTGCCTTTTATGACCTAGACTCTGAAGTCAATACTGTCACTTCTGTTTTGATCTATCAAGAGCCACGAAGCCTAGTCTACACTCAAGGGGAGGGGAATTAGAGTCCATCTCTTCCAGGGAGGAGTATCATTGAATCTGTGAACATATCTTAGAACTACCATACCTAGCTTCAGTACTTTTAAACATTTGCCATTTTGCTTGGTCCCTCTCTTTTCCCCACCTATATATACATACCCATACATGCTACTCCCTAACAATTTGAGAGTAGGGAGCATGTGTTGTATCCCTATCCCTTGTGTTTCGCTCTTAAACGATATTCTATTATACAACACGGTAGTTATCAATATCTAATTTTAACATTGTGATACTTTAAAGTCCACTTCCACTTGTTTAAATTGCCCTAACGATGTTCCCATCAAATTTATTTTTAAACAATACAGTAAAAACGTAGAGGGTTACAAAGTGTGACATCGGTCACATATACATATATATATATATGTATGTATGTGTATATATATTTTTGGCAGGGAATAAAAAAAGGTCCCGGGTCTAGGGAGGTAAACAAGCGTGAGCTAGCTGAGTTCTAGCGGGGGTCCCTGAGCACCAAAAGGACAAGACAGTTTCTGAAACACTACCTTATCTTTATCTCTTAAGTTATCCATTACTTATGGAAAATGATTTCTTTTTTACTGTTCCCTTCGGTTCCTGTCCAGAACACAGCTGGAGATTGTGCTAATAGCTTAGGACGACGTCTGTTTCCGTGAGCAGGTAACAACTTTTTGAAACAAATTCCCTCATCTGCTGAAGAAGGGGGACAGTAACGGCCCCTATCGCCCAGAACCGTTGTGAGGATTTAGCTAGCTGGTGACGCCGACACATGGAGCTGTACAGGTAGCCAGCAGCACCCACATCCGCAGCTACTCTACCCGCTCGGCAACTGTAGAGCTGGCCGGCAGGCGAGCGGGCGGGGCGGCATCACGTGGACGGGGCGGGACGCGCTAGTCGGCTGATCGCACGATTGTGACGCGCCGCCGGAGGCAGGCCGGGCCCTCAAGATGGCGGCGGGCGCCAGGAGCGGCTCGGCCCGGCAGTAGTAGTGGGACGGCACTAGCCGCTGGGGCCGGCCGCCCCGGGAGTGGCTGCAGCAGCGCCAGGAATCGAGGATGGTAAAATGACCCAGGGGAAGAAGAAGAAACGGGCCGCGAACCGCAGTATTATGCTGGCCAAGAAGATCATCATTAAGGACGGAGGCACGGTGAGCTGAGTTCCGCGCCGGCAAGCGTCCCTCGGGGCCCCCATCCGGTCTCTCCTTCAGACCCCAACACTGCCGTCTCTAGGCGCCCCGGTACCCCCCTGCCTTCCCCCACCCTGTTCCCGGTGCCGCTGCCTCTGGCTCGCGGACCCGCATGCCGCCGCTCCGGGAATCGTCCTCCCCTGCTCGGGCCTGCGGCGTCCGGGGCCCGTCCTCTTTCTCTCCCGCACCTGCCGCCCTCTGCTCCGGCCGCCTCTGCAGGCCCTGCGGCCTCGAACCCCACGTGCGCCTCCGCTGCGGCTCCCCCGGCGGCCCGCCCGACCGCCGCGCCCCTTGTCGCCGCAGCCTCGCCTCGCATCCGCCGCCAGGCCCCGCGGAGCCGTCGTCGCGCCTGTCAAGGGGCTGGGAACCATCCCTGCTTTCCCATATGTTGCTAACCGGGTGGCGTCTGGCACTGGGATCCCGCTGCGGCCCCGTAGTACGTTCGCTTTCTGTTTCCACGTCTGTGCGTCGGTGCTTTGGCTCTGGGCTGCTTACAGTAAACCCTGTCCCGAGGTGGGCTTCCCTCTCTTCCCGGAGTCGGAAGCGTGACGGCAGACACCTGGGGCCTACATTCGAACCCGCTAGTTTTCAAAGAAAAGTCATCACTCTGTGCCCTACGATCAAAAGTACTAGAATCAATCATGGCCTAAGGATCAGAGGAAGACACTTTGAAAGGAAGAAAGGTTTGCTTTTTAGAAACAGTTGTCATCACAGTAAACTTTGTGCAGTCTGCTGTAGTTAACCAGCAGGGGACGTAGGATTTTTAATTGAAAGAAAAAAAAAAAAAACCCCAAAACTATGCTTTTTATGCTAACATTTCTCAGTTGCTACACTCTGTCGTCTTTGTTGCATCTGCTGATACCGCGTTCTGAAATAGAATGGAAAGGTGATGTATGTTTCACTTACCTGAAGTGTGCAGAAATGGTTCCATTAATTCCATTTCTGTTTATATCTTATTGGAGCCCTGATCAACTGCTAGCACAGTACTAAATATGTATATAAGTAGGCCACCATTGAGGATTTGCTGAATTCAGCTGAAAAACGTAGCAAAATTGTATGACATTTCAGAACACGGCCCAGTCAATATGCGAAAGTTTAGAAAACTTGGGACATATGTAATGACTTCAGAATATATTTTTAGTTCAACTGTAACATTTATTACATGTTATAGCGTTGACATTTATTGAAAAAACAAACTTGGAAATTCCTCAGGTTCTTTTTATTGAACTTCATTAATTAAAACATTACTTTAATTAGATCTGTTATGAAGAGTCATAGTTCTTTTGACCAAGTTAAGAACTATGTGGGGAGAAAAATACTGTTGTCTTTGTCGTCCTTTAGAAAGATACAGTATTTTACATTCTTCATAAAATCTACAAAATAGTGGAAATGAAGGATTGTATTTTGTAAGACCAAGTGATATTTAAGATCAGTATTTTTTGCAAAATGTAAGAAGGAAACTCTGATTAAGAAACACAGCTTCCTTTTCCTTGAAAAGTTCAGTTTTGTTACCTTTCTTTTGGGTTTTATTTGATTTACTTTACAGCAGATGCTTTCTTTCCAAATCCTGTGAGTTTTGGAAAGGATTGTTTTTGAACTTTCTTGTCCTGTTATTAAGGTTGTAATTAATTCTTAGCCTGCTTTGGGACACAAAATAAAATGTTTGCACCAGCAATAGGTTTCACATAGAACAAGGGAAGACTTTCCTTGAGGACTGTGAACATGGGGGCTATTATCTTTCTCATCTTTATACACTTAATATTTCATTATCTATTCTAAGAGCACTGGGCACCCCTTTAGAATAGGGGCTTTGTTTTTTATGTTTGAATCCCACAGGGCCTAGTATGTGAATTTTAAAGTGATAAAAACACTTACGCTTTGTACTAGCACAAAGATGAATTTTTATTGTAGTTTTGTCTATTCTTATACATAATCAGAGGATATATTTCAATAAATGTCAGAGGAATATTTTGCATTATTTGTATTTTAATCCATCCCAGCTTTAAATTTAAAAAGTATAACTATTGCAATCATAGAAATTACTGTAAAGTGGTAGTTGCTTGTCTACCTCCCTACTTACAACAGGTCAGACTGCTATTATGAACTTTTTTTTTTTTTGAGACGGAGTCTCACTCTGTTGCCCAGGCTGGAGGAGTGCAGTGGCACGATCTCGTCTTACTGTAACCTCCGCCTCTTGGGTTCAAGTGATTCTCCTGCCTCAGCCTTCCGAGTAGCTGGGACTACAGGCACGTGCCACCACACCTGGCTAATTTTTTATATTTTCAGTAGAGATGGGGTTTCATCATGTTGGCCAGGCTGGTCTTGAACTCCTGACCTCATGATTTACCCACCTAGGCCTCCCAAAGTGCAGGGATTACAGGTGTGAGCCACCGTGCCCGGACTGAACATTTTTTAAGAAAGGGAAAAAAATTGTCATTTGATATTCTGTTCTTGTGTGTTTTTTAGTTCATCGTATCATAGAATATTTTAGTACTATTGCCATTGACCTCAGAGTTTCAGAGTTTTTAGAAAGTTCCACCAATAGGTAGATTCATTCAGTCAGATGTCTGAGGCTCTGTGGTCGGTACGTGACAGGTTGTGAACAGTATTTCACATACCTGGTCAATGGTACTGATTTGATCCCCTTCTAATTTCTTGTCAACAATGTTAATAAAATTCTTTCCTGTTGTCCTACTAATGACATATATGTAAGCCTATTTGGCCAGTTTAAACATTTATAAACAAAACTAGTAAGAGTTGTTAATGATTTATCTGAAAATTAGAGCAAATTTGTAGTTTTTAATGGTTGAAGAAATAAATCCTTCTGAATGAGCCAGATTAATCGTAAGTTACTAATTTTTTTTATTGAAATTGTTTTTCATTCAGCTGAATGAAAAGCCAGGCCAGGATAAAACTAACAAGTAGGCTACCTATGTGAGCAGACAAAATTAAGATAAATTACATTAAGGTGTGTGATTCTATATTCGGCATTTTTAACCTGGGTCTGTTCACCCTGAAATTTTCAAAATTTTCTTTTGGCTATACATATTTTTTGGAAGAGTCCCAAAAAGTCCATACTTCCCAAAAGTTTAAGAGCAATTGTTCTGTTTGAAAACAGAGTGACTGAAGAATAAGTTCCACAGATTATATTCAGTAAATATTTAATCATATACTGTATACTACTTCACTGATGATAGTAACCATATTAGTGAATTTGCTTTTAAAGCATCCATATATAGAAATAGATTTTAGGCCAGGGGCAGTGGCTCACACCTGTAATCCCAGCACTTTGGGAGGCCAGCGTGGGCGGATCACTTGAGGGCAGGAGTCTGAGACTCGCCTGGCCAACATGGTAAAACCCCATCTTTACCGAAATTACAAAAATGAGCCAGGTGTGGTGGTGTGCGCCTGTAATCCCAGCTACCTAGGAGGCCAAGGCATAGAGAATCACTTGAACCTGGGAGGCTGAAATTGCAGTGAGCTGAGATCATGCCACTGCATTCCAGCCTGGGTGATGGAGTGAAACTGTCTTTAAAAAAAAAAAAAGTTTTTAGTTACAAGTTTTAATGTATGTAACATTCAGTGTAGGTATTTAAGACAGCTGAAATAAAAATACCTTCTGACATTTTCGAATACTAGAATTTTGTTTTATTAAAGCATTATTACCACTTGTTTTTAAGCATAGCTGTTAAGGCTAAGAGCTGAAGAGTTATTTACATTATTCAAATTGAATTTTCCTTATCTTTTAAAATGCTCATTTTAAAATATGATCTTTATTGTTTTGTCAATACAATTGTGAGACTACATCTCTGACAAAGTGGAAAATGTATAGTTCTTTCAGAAGTTAATTGGTAAAATGACTTTACAGATTTGATAGAAAGTAAGGCATGTGTGAATTGCATGGTTGGAAGTACCTGAAAAAAGTAAAATTGATACATCATTTGAAAATGAAATGCATATCCCTGGATAAGCAGAGCACCAGATTTTTTTTTTTTTTTATTGGCATCCCTGATTTTCATTAAATAGGAATCAGCAACCATTTCAAAAGTGGGACCCAAGCCCTGACCTTCTGCACTCTTCACCTGCAAGGATGGCTGAAGTAGTGGCAGGAAAGCTCACAAGGATGTAGGACCTTTGTAGACCCAGAGAGTTGTTAAACAGCCTTTGGTTGCTAGCATGCGAGCAATGAGAAGGGCCTGTGGTGCTTTTCTTTTTCTTTCTTTCTTTCTTTTTTTTTTTTTTTTTGAGACAGGGTTTTGCTCTTGTTGCCCAGGCTGGAGTGCAATGGCGCGATCTTGGCTCACTGCAACCTCCGCCTCCCTGGTTCAAGCAATTCTTCTACCTCAGCCTCCTGAATAGCTGGGATTACAGGCATGTGCCATGTGCCATTATGCTCGGCTAATTTTTGTGTTTTTTTAAATAGAAACAGGGTTTTACCATGTTGCCCAGGCTGGTCTCAAACTCTTGACTTCGGGTGATCCACCTGCCTCAGTCTTCCAAAGTGGGATTACAGGTGTGAGCCACTGCACCCAGCCCCATGGTGCTTTTCAAAAAGCCTAGAAACATCAAGGTGTTTATATTGTCTTTGGCAGGTGTGTGGCAGGCAGCATCATGAATTACTTAACTTGAAGTTAGAAGACTTGCATACCAACATAATCAGACCATCTGCAGAAATTCTCCTACAGTTGAAATGTAACTCCTTTGCAGCTACTGAAAGTTTAAAGTTTAAGTAAAAAAAAGAATAGCTTTCTTCAGGTAACATTCTGACAAGTCTGTATGATTTAAAAGTTTCAATTATAAAGAACTCTGGTTGTCTTTTAGCATTATTTTAAATTGAAAGTGTGAAAGTAACCGTTGACAGTTTCAGCCAGGGTACATCAAGAAGAGATGAATATGGATATAATATAGCTCTCAAAATTTCCAGTACTTTGTAACAAAGAAATATCCCTCCCATTGCCCTG